GATATATATTCAAGTTATAAACTCTGCTAAGATCTGCCATTTAAAAAAATACACACGCAAAAAAAGCAGTTGCTGGAATCTTCATCTTCAGTAATCCCCAAGATAAGGCATCAAAATACATAATCCTTTCCTTCTCCAGCACTTCATATGTATTTCAAAAGACTTTTTTTATAAGCCTTGTCCTCAGGAAACCAAGCCAACATGGTCACACTATGTGATGCCTCCACTCCAGCCTCACCACTCCCAAAACACATACACATCACCGCCCCCTATCCACTTACTATCCGACTTCAAAGAAATGCTCAGAGGCTGATGGCTCCCAAGAACAAACCAAACTTTCCTAAACATCTATAAGCTTTCTAAACAGACAACAGCTCCATTACAGCACTGTAGGAGAGTGAAAAGCAGCAGCATACTTTCACTTACTAGACATGAGAGCATTCAGTGTCTTTAACAGTGAAGCACTGTAAATTTTTCAACTTCGTAATCAATAAGAAAACATTTCCATAGGTTAATGCAATGGCTGGAGAGACTGCTTGCTGAATTAAGAAACTGGACCAGGGAAGTAAGCTTCTGTCCCCAGTTCTTGACTCCTTAGTCAACTGATACTTTTACTTACTTAATACTTGGAAGAGGAGGCCTGAGGTGATGCTTTAGCAGAGCATCCTCTTTACTACTACTAGACTTGTCATAGTAGCCTACATTTAATTCTTGAAATACTTTAAGCTTTTATACTCCTAGAAGGAGCTGCAAGAAGCAAAACTAGGTTTAATCAATAATGCTGTTGAAACAGCTAATGTAATTCTTACTTCACTGAGAAATATTTACAGTAGTCTGGAACAAACCAGCAAGAGGCTAGCTCCAATTTCTCCTCATCTATTACAGGCAAATGCCTCAGGGCATCTTCACAGTGTCAAAAGAATTAGCACATCACTTGAAAAATTAACCAGGTATCAAAAGCATATATTAGAAAAAAAGTAGTAAAAAAGTGGCCTATGTAACATTTTATTCTGTGTTCCATACCAAAAGTCACCAACACAAGAAACATGACAGTATCAAACAGCTTTCCTTAAGAATGTAGCTTCATTTAAATACTTTGTTGAAAATTGTCATCTAACCTCATTTATTGTCTCAGAATATGACTTGGGAATTTCAGCTCCAAACACCCATATTCTATTGAAAGCTCTTTAGAGCAAGGAAAAAAAAAAGGTTTACCCAAGTGCATCAGACATTCCACAGTTGTCAAAAACACAACTATTCAACTACTTACAGGCAAGCCGAATTCTTTTGATAGGCTGCTGAATTAGTAACATCATCCTGAAAGTTGCAATGAAGACTTTCTTGGAGAAATCTGGTAGGTGGGGCCTCTTAACAATAACCAATTTCATCACGTACTGAAGGAAGAGGCTGTCAGTTCCCTTGTGCAGCTACTTACATCCAAAAGCTCATAATGTTCTGCTGGATTTTGTCAAGTGCGGGGCTTTTTTTTCTTTCCCTTGTGTTGTGTTCAGCTTAGAGTTTTGTGTGCATGTTGTGTATGATCAGCCTCTCCTGCAACTAATCTGGAAGCGCTTACACAGTTATGTATCAACCAAAACTAATCAAGTTTTCAAAAACAGCTACTTCAATTTTCAGGCCATATGAAAAACTTTATTTTCCTCCAGGCAGTCTATAATTAAACTGGTCTTTCCTGCATAACCGAACAAACATTTCCATAACTAAAGGATAAACCAAACCTGAGACAGAGCTAGATGAAAAATAATCAAGGAAGAGTTAACAGATCAATTTCACAATACTGCCTCACTGAAAAGCCAAATTGTGCTGACACGCAGCTAAAGAGTGACATACTATCTGTGCCAACACTGCCTTTTAAAAACGGCTTGTGCACCTCTTATTTCTAAAATTCTCAATTTAGGTTCTGAATTTTAAGTTTATAACCACAAAAATCAAGATGGAGCTGCAGGGCTACTTAGGTTTGCATTCTGTCATGTCTCTACAAACCTAAACTGCACCCTCAAAGAAATCACTGTAAATCTACAGTAACACTTAACTGGATGCTAGACCTTTGCAGAGGGGGTATAATGGGAGTGAGAGAAAAAAGTTACCACTACTTGCTCAGTAGCTGCATTTCTGAATCTCCACTGAAGAAAGTTTCAGACAAAGAACTAAAATGCCTCTTTGTTAACCATGACTATCAGCGTTTACATCAGTTCTTCACCATCAGCAAGTGATGAAAAAACATCAATCATTAACCAGAGGAGGGGAACAAAACAACCAACCAAAGGCATTCCACCCGACCACCGCACTAGTTTGATCGCATACCCACGCCGAGTGCTTTGTGACACCAGCAAGGGCATAAAGCCTCCGGGCACTGCGGTTTATACCATGGCACAGAGTTTAAAGGCAGGTGAAGGGAGCGAGCAGTTCCTAGCAACAGGTTACATGCAGTGGATGACAGCGTGCCCGGCACACTCAGGTTTTGCTTGCCCCAGCGCGGGGCGCCCGCAGCATAACCCGCCGTTAGGGCCTCCCTCGCGCGCCTCCAACGCCTGCCGGCCCCACCGCCCTCCAGCCCAAGGCCAGCAACCGCCACACGATCGTCTCGGCAGCACGACCTCGGCAAGCCGGCGGCAGCACCTCGCCCCGCCGCGACCGCCTCGCACCCGTCCCTCGGTGGAGGCCGCCGGAAGCCCGCAGCGGGCTGCAGCCCTGGCCACAGAGCGGGCAGCTAGCCGGCATCGCCCCACCAGGGTCCCCTTCTCCCTCCCCGGACACCCACCTCATCCAGAAACTTAGTGAGATCGTAGATGCGGTGGTGCAGGATGATCCAGGTACTCTGGCTGTTGTTGTGCTTCTGCACCTCCTCCAGCCGGTAGTACCGGCCCCGCCACGGCTCGCTGCCAGACTCGCTAGAGCCCACCATTGCACCTCTGCTCAACGCCGCCTCCCCAGCAGACTACAACCCCACAGCCCGACGCACACTGACCTGAGCCCCACTGCAAGCCTATCACCGCCCGTCCCCTCGCTTGCCGGCTTCTCATTGGAGGAGACAACCGCCGCTCAAGGAAGGCAGCAGGCTGGTGAGCGCGGTGGGCGGGACCTGTGAGGGGTGGGCCGGCGGCCTCATGCCTGCTTTCTCTCCTCACCCACTACTCTCGCGGCGGCGAACTTGCGCGGCTCTCTCCATGTGACCAGACGCGGTCACGTGTCGCTCTCGCCGGCGTCTGTCAGGCCGTGGCCGGGGGTCGAACTCGTAGCCCTTCCTTCTACCCCCCGACTTGGCGAGACGGGCGCTTCTGTGTGGCGGTGGTTGTAACTTGAGCGCACGCCGGCCGTCTCCTCAGTCAAGTGCTGCTTGTTGCTCAGCTACTGCGCCTTTGCTGCCTGCGCACTTCAGCTTTAAGAGCAGGCAGATGTTACAGCCGAAACAGAACGCGGCTGCCTGCTGGCGCTGAATGGCGCTGCCGCCGCTCGGTTCGTCCTGCAGGAAAACCCTTCCGGCTGCTCGTAGAGCGTTACGCCTGCCTGGTCCTCCCAGCCTCCCGGCGGCTCACCAAGCAGCGGCTGGGGCACAGCGCCGCGGAGCCACCTCGCAGCTCCCTTCCGTCCCCGCCCGTTTTCTCGCTCAGGAACCCTGAACACGGGTCGGCAAGTCGCGGGGGCTGCCCGTACCGCCAGCGGCCGCCCTGCCTTCTTAGGCGGGCGGCTGTGCCCTCAGCGCGGAGTCGTCATCCCCCTCCCCACCCCCTAGCCCTCACCCGCATGCGCGGCGGCGGTTCCTCGCGCGGAAGGCGGGAATTGTGTAGCTGCCTCAGCGGTCCGCGTACCCTGTGAGGGAGGCCAGCGGCAGCGCGAGAAGAGACCCGGTCAAAGGTGCCTCCTTACAGCCATCCCTATGTCCTTCTATTTTATAGAAGCTAAAACTCGGTTCATTCCGTGTGGCCTTTGACAGTATTGTTCAGCTGTTGGGCCAGAAATGTGTTTTTCTTTAAGGGTAAGAAACAAGGAAACATGTTAAATTAGTTATGAAACACTGACCGTGTGCTTTTTATAGGATATGGCTGAGGTTGATCTTTTTAATGTGTAATACTGTTAAGCAAAGCAAAGAAAAATCAGAACAACAAAGTTGTCTTTGACATTGTTCCTCGAAAAATGTTTCCAATTCATAATTTTTTTATAATGATTTGCAAAATTGCTCTTCAGGTGAATACCTGGTGGCTTCCTAAAATTTGGAAACAAAAATATTTATTGATATCTTCACTGTGCAGATAAGATCATTTCGCAAAAGGTTTTTAGGGTTTGGAGGGGGGAGAACTATCAAAACAGCTTTTTTTGGTGTGCAGTGTTTATTCCTGGCTTTTTATAACAGCAGACTTTCTACCTGCTTGTTTTTCTTCAAAACACTTTGATTGAGAAAGGTGCTATAGTTAAAAGGTGTATTTTCTTTAAATAATGAAATATTAGTTACCCTTTTTTGTCATAAATATTATAGTTCCTTTACTATAAGCCTTGCATGTGCTGCAACAGGCATCATCCAACAGGCTGGAACAGCACAGCTGCTTGTGTGTTTCCATGTTCTTGGTTTTCATTCTCTGCCACAGTACAGCCATGGTCTTTATATGACTAAGCACATCTTTGTGGAGCTCCTGGGAATTAAACATTCTTGCCACATAGGAGGGGACCAGCTTCACAGAGGGATTCCTTGGCTCTTGGATCCCACATAGGTGCCAGCCCCAGTGGAGACTGAGAAGATGGAAAGGATGCTTTCATCCTTGTCTTTACTCTGAATATTTTTACTCTTGTAAATACTTTGGTTTTTTTTTTCAAATGTAGTGCAGTATTTATAGCAACAGTATATTGAGCTGGCCATTTTAGTTGACTCAATTATGTTATATTGTCTACCTAAAATTAATCAGAAGATAAATGATTATCCATTTACCTGATACCATATACTTAAAAGTTCAGTAAACAAATATCTGCCTTATAAAAATGAAATTTTTTTTTCCTTTCAAGACCCAGGGGCTGCTTTGGGGCAATCAACATATAACATGAATGGCACCAGGCACCAGCCTTTGTTCTTTGTCAGTCTGCCAGAGTTACAAGAACTCTGTGCTGCTACAGTAACACTGAGTTCTCATATACCAGAAAGCGAGACAAGGAGTACACAGATAAAGATTTGCAGGTAAAAAATTTCAAGGGCTGTTATTTCAAAAGCTGGTGGTGATTATTAATCAAAGATTTTATTAGCAGTACTAAAATTAAGTGTAATAAAATCAGCAAAATTCTTATCTGCAGCAAACGGTATAAAACTGTTCAAAATAGATTTTGGTTTTTGGGTTTATTTTTTTGGTGGGGGACTCATGCTATTGGGGGAAAAAAAAACATTGCTATTATGTTTTAAATATCATCAGGTAAAACTAACAAGGCCAAATTAAAAAATAATTGAAATTGACCTCCGTTCATTTGTAAAGCTGGAATGCTTTATGTAGGTGGAGACTGACTAAAAAGAATACTTGAAAAGCATTTGTACATTCCTTAATGTTCACCAATCATTATGTTATTACCTTTAATAGGAAAGGGGAGAAACAAGAAACTCTGCCAAAAGGAACACTTTTGGAGAGTTCTGTTTATGTGCCAAAGATCTGTAGTCTTTGCCTGAGACCACTGTGGGTGGGTTAAGAACAAGTAACTTGGACTAGCCCAACATACTATACTGAGCCATTGAAAACCCGTTAAAAGGGGAATATATTATGTTTGGAGATGGTGAGGAAAATAAATTTGAGAAAATCAAGTATGGAAAATATTTTTTTTCATAACATTTTATTTATTTGTTTTTATAGGCAGTTATTATTCCTACATCAAGACATCCTTTCTGCACCTCTTATTGGAACACTAAATCAAATTTCAATTGTAATGGCGGTCAGTATCACTGTGTAAATGAGTATATGTAGTTACATACCTTAGCAGATGAGTGGAATGCACCTCACTCAAAAGAGAGAATCTGGAATATGTTTTATTGAGGTAAAATAATAATTTGACGGAGTTCAATAAGCTTGATGGAATTTAGCAAGGTTCACCTTATTAATTACTGCATGGAAGAAACATAGAGAGGAAAATTGACTTAGAATGACTCATACCAAGGTTGGAGGCAGGAAGAGTAGAGGACCTTTCTGTTGAGTCATGAGGTTCAGAGTGTACCCCATTGTTTTCTAAACTCTTTTTGAAGCCTAGGTGTCCAGTCTTAGTTTCAGACTTGGTCAATGGTTCACATCTGATGGAATTATCTACACAATGCTTATAATATCTGAGTAGCTATATGGATTATTAATGCTTCATAGTATTAATTCTGCATGATATCAGTAATTTACCAAGGATCTGCCATAGGTAGAGCTTTCCACCTTGGCTAAGGAAGGATCTCTTAGTCTTAGCTAAGGAACCTCTAGCCTTTAGAAGGTCCCTGCTCAAGAGGAGAATCATCTGGCACACAAGTCAGCTGCCATTCTGGAATAGCTCAAGTCTGGCCTATCCTGATTTCAGTATTTATAGGGTGAAGTAGTTTGCTGCTAGTCAATATATAGACAAGGCAGAGGTCTTCAGTTCAGCTCTGGCATCTTGTTCAGTACGTTGGTTATCTTGTACTTTTGGGTTTCAAAATCACCTTTCAAATATTTTTCAAGACACTTCACTCCCTTTTACATGAGCCAGGGGCTTTCCAGCTCTCAGGTTTATCCCAAGGACTTGAGGCCTGTTGCTTCTTTGTCAGCCTGAACCAAAGTACAGCTAGGAGTCAAGTTTATCCATCACCCATCCCTCCATGTTTCTCTAAGAAGTGTTTTGTTTGAGAATCAAGGATAAGTAAAATAAAGTCATTTAAAGCAAAATTTTATTTTTGTGGCTTAGTTAGTACTGTAGATGTCAGCTTATGTCTTCTACTCTTCTGATGAAACGGCCTTTTCAGATGGTGAACCTTTTATGGAACAAAATGGACTCAGTTGGTAAGATGCCACCGAATTCACAGTGAGAGCATGAGGGACAGAGTTCTGCATTTTTGTTTTGGATAGTCTTGGTTGCTACATAATGTATCTTTAGCTGGTGATGAGTTTACACTATGGCAAATGCCTGAACTCATTTTAATTATTGTGCTCCTTTAACGTACAGGATATGGCATTTGCTCTAACTATTCCTTAGCATGTTTTTCTTAGGCAAAGTCAGTGATGGGCCATAATTTAATTTATGATTATGATAAATTATGATACCCCTTAATTTGCTTTTTTTTTAATTATTATTTTTAGATACCGTTTTACAAATCAGGAATATGTCAGGCCTACATAGAGAAACAAGGAGCTACTGTAAGTGCTGAAACGTGTCTCAGTTCTTAAGACTGTTACACTTGTCTTCAATTGCTGTTTCCAGAGATGTGTGTTTTTGTAGGGCATGCAATTTGCACTACAGAAGCCAAGTTTCAGGGTAAAAAAGTCTTCCAAACTGTCCTTTATGAATCTTGGTTTAGTAAGTATATTTTGTCAGTCAGAAGTTTTAAGAAGTTCCCGAGCAATATCATTAGATTGCTGCAGTTGGAATACTGATCCTACTCAGAAGTGTTGAGGTTTGTCCTCGAGGCAATGACAGACCTGCCCCTCGGGCCAAAGACCTGCAGCTCTTCTGAGGGTGTCAGCTCCCTCTGTGTGTGCTCTGTAGGTTCCACATGTGCAGGTATTCAGACAACAGAACTGTCTCCCCATTCACGGTTCAGGTTTACACCGCCTGCGTAGGACAGTCTCAGAAAAACAAAACACAAACATAAAGAAGAAATGGAACCCATGAGCTTAACATCTGATATGTTTTTAGACCATTATGCATATGATTTACTATCTTCTAGTATGTCATGTTTGTGGATTTTATGAATGTATGTATGGGCACACTGAAGTTGCTGAATCAAAAGACTGCTTGTAATCAAAGCCAGGAGCTCTCAAGATTCATTTACACACTCAGTCAGGTGTATTTCTCTTTGTTCCAAGAAGTGTAAATGCATATCCAGAGGGACTTTGACACGATTGTGAGGTGGGCTGATGCCAACCTCATGAAGTTTAACCATGACAAGTGTAAGGTCCTGCACCTGGGTCGGAGTAATCCCAGGCACAGCTACAGGTTGGGCAGAGAAGAGATTCAGAGCAGCCCTGTGGGGAAGGACTTGGGGGTGTTGGTTGATGAGAAAATGAACATGAGCAGGCAGTGTGCGCTTGCAGCCCAGAAAGCCAACTGTATCCTGGGCTGCATCAAAAGGAGCATGACCAGCAGGTCGAAGGAGGTGATTTTGGGAGGAATATAAGGCTGCTGCTAGAGGATGTAGGAAGGCAGCTAGGAGGACTAAGGCATCCTTAGAATTAAACCTGGCAAGAAGGGTCAAGGACAGCAAAAAGAGCTTTTTCAAATACATGGCAGACAAAACTAACACCAGAGGCAATGTAGGCCCACTGATGAACGGGATGGGTGCCCTGGTGACAGAAGATACAGAGATGGCAGAGTTACTGAATGCCTTCTTTGTCTCTGTCTACTCTGCTGCAGGCAGTCCTGAAGAGCCCTGTACCCCTGAGATCTTAGATGAAGTCAGGTCGACGGAGCGGTTTGCCTTAGTCGATGAGGAATGGGTTAGAGATCAGTTGAGCAATCTGGACATCCATAAATCCATGGGTCCAGATGGGATGCACCCGCGGGTGCTGAGGGAACTGGCGGAAGTCATTGCTAGACCACTCTCCATCATCTTTACCAAGTCTTGGGAAACGGGAGAGGTGCCTGAGGACTGGAGGAAAGCAAATGTCACTCCAGTCTTCAACAAGGGCAAGAAGGAGGACCCGGGTAACTATAGACCGGTCAGCCTCACCTCCATCCCTGGGAAAGTGATGGAACACCTTATCCTTGGTACCATCTTAAGGCATATCAAGGATAAGAAGGTTATGAGGGGCTGTCAACATGGCTTCACCAGGGGGAAATCATGTTTGACCAATCTCTTAGCCTTTTATGAGGAAATAACACGGTGGATGGATGATGGCAGAGCGGTGGATGTGGTCTACCTTGACTTCAGCAAAGCATTTGACACAGTCTCCCACAGCATCCTCACGGCTAAAATGAGGAAGTGTGGACTGGATGATCAGGTAGTGAGGTGGACTGCGAACTGGCTGAAGGAGAGAAGCCAGAGAGTTGTAGTCTATGGGGCTGAGTCTAGTTGGAGGCCTGTAACTAGTGGAGTGCCTCAAGGGTCAGTACTGGGACCGGTATTATTTAATATATTCATCAATGATTTAGATGAGGGAATTGAGTGTACTATCAGCAAGTTTGCTGATGACACTAAGCTGGGAGGAGTGGCTGACACGCCAGAAGGCTGTGCTGCCATCCAGCGAGACCTGGACAGGCTGGAGAGTTGGGCAGGGAGTAACTTGATGAAATATAACAAGGGAAAGTGTAGAGTCCTGCATCTGGGCAGGAACAACCCCAGGTTCCAGTATAGGTTGGGGAACGACCTGTTAGAGAGCAGTGTAGGGGAGAGGGACCTGGGGGTCCTAGTGGACGACAGGATGACCATGAGCCAACACTGTGCCCTTGTGGCTAAGAAGGCCAATGGCATCCTGGGGTGTATTAGAAGGGCGGTGGTTAGTAGGTCGAGAGAGGTCCTCCTTCCCCTCTACTCTGCCCTGGTGAGACCGCATCTGTGTCCAGTTCTGGGCCCCTCAGTTCAAGAAGGACAGGGAGCTGCTGGAGAGAGTCCAGCGCAGGGCAGCGAAGATGATTAAGGGAGTGGAGCATCTCCCTTATGAGGAAAGACTGAGGGAGCTGGGTCTCTATAGTTTGGAGAAGAGGAGACTGAGGGGTGACCTTATAAGTGTCTATAAATATATAAAGGGGGAGTGTCACGAGGATGGAGCCAGGCTCTACTCAGTGGCAAACAATGATAGGACCAAGGGGTAATGGGTACAAACTGGAACACAAGAGGTTCCACTTAAACTTGAGAAGAAACTTCTTCTCAGTGAGGGTGACAGAACACTGGAACAGGCTGCCCAGGGAGGTTGTGGAGTCTCCTTCCCTGGAGACATTCAAAACCCGCCTGGACACATTCCTGTGTAACATTATCTAGGTGTTCCTGCTCCGGCAGGGGGATTGGACTAGATGATCTTTCGAGGTCCCTTCCAATCTCTAGCATACTGTGATACTGTGATCCTGCCCCTCTACTCTGCTCTCATGAGACCTCACTTGGAGTATTGTGTATAGTTCTGGTGTCCTCAGCATAAAAAGGACATGGAACTGTTGGAACAAGTCCAGAGAAGGGCCACGAGGATGATCAGGGGACTGGAGCACCTCTAATACAGAAAGATAGGCTGAGAAAGCTGGGGCTATTCAGCCTGGAGCTGAGAAGGCTCATAGCAGCCTTCCAGTATCTGAAGGAGGCCTATAAGGATGCTGGGAAGGGACTCTTCATTAGGGACTGTAGTGATAGGACAAGGGGTAATGGGTTCAAACTTAAACAGAGGAAACTTAGATTGGATATAAGGAAGATGTTCTTTACTGTGAGGGTGGTGATGCCCTGGAATAGGTTGCCCAGGGACGTTGTGAATGCTCCATCCCTGGCAGTGTTCAAGGCCAGTTGGACAGAGACTTGGGTGATATGATTTAGTGGGAGGTGTCCCTGCCCAAGGCAACAGGGCTGGAACTAGATGATCTTAAGGTCCTTTCCAACCCTAACTATTCTATGATTCTGTATCTAGACTAGTAAGGCATACACTGCTCAAGTATGCTTACATTGCATAACTGCTTTATGTTGATCTGTGTCACTGACCTGTTACTGTTAGATTTTTTCAAAACCATCAGATTAGTGGTACAAAGTATGGTTAATAGCTATGAGCTGCAAGCAGATCCTTGCCAGATCTCATTAGAAACATACTCCTGGAGGTGTATTAGTTGGCTCTTCATAACCCATTGTAATTAGTTGCTCTTTCTTGACTAATGCTAACTGCCCACAGGCAAGCAGTCAGGCAAGTAGTACTGCTGGGTGAATGAAGCTACTGTTTATTTATCTTTATTTATTTAATTAATCTGTTTATCTATTGTTCTTGTAACTGCAAGAAATGTTTCTGGTCCTGAGTTTGACAGCAGGGTTAATATATGTAAATTTTGAATGTTGTGCCTATTGTCTGGAAAGAGATGCATATCTAGTAAAGTACTCCATTTAGCTCAATTAATCTTTTCCCCAGGTCTGTTATTACATTAAGTGAAGGGTAGTGCACATTACTTTGATAACACATGAAAACTAAATGCCTATGTTAAATACTGTGCTAACTTCCTCTTATAGCCAAGTAGGTGAAAAATAAAGATATGTAACATATACTAGGATTTGGCTCCAGGATGCAGTAGTAGTGTCTATGATTAAATTATGACTGAAGCCTGTAAAAAAAATGTGTTAAATTATTAGTAATGTATTTTTCTTTGCTCACTGTCATTATTAGCTGCAAGCACCACAAACAGTTAGTCCAGCAGTTCTCCAAGCTTGTCTTTCCTACACACTGACAGCCAGACTTGCACCCAGGTGGAACAAAGCTGGTCATTTCCTGGTGCAAGGTATTTGACTCATCTGGGTCGGGAATTGAGCATTAAGTTTTCAGTTCTTTATTGTTGCACTTGCTTTCCATAATTTAATTTCCATCATTATTTCATTCATTATATTATTTCATTCATTTATGTCCTATGACTTTTTCTTTGATTGCATTTTTATTCCTTTATCCAAGTTCGGTGATTCGTGTTAAGAATTCACTTTTTCATCTTCCTCCTCATCTTTGTAATAGATCAAATAATTTTTTCAACTGAATGCTATATACCAGATTAATAATTTCCAAACCAAATACTGTTGGATGCTTAAAGTGCTCTAAAAATTGGACCTTTGTTTCAGATTCATGCTTTCATCTGTGCCACTTCTGCATATGGTTTGAATGCTTTCCTAATACAGAAGTGGTTTTCTGTCAGAACATCTCCTTCTATCCTTCTGTCTCCTTCTATCTATCTTTTTAGATGGTAGTTCCTTTGCCTGACATGTCTCTACTAGCTTCCGTGTAGGATCTGAATTACCAAAGTATGGAAACCAGATGTGTTTCAGATACTGTGGTGTGCTCTCTTTAAGTAGAGCAATTATATAGATATAACAAATACACATTGTGAAAAGTATGTAAGATATTGTCTTATTTCCAGACACGATATTAACAGTATCTTGTTTTCAGTATCCTCAAAATATATCGTGCTCTGAATGAGATCATCTGATATGGGAATAACAGGTAGAAGTAGAGGGCTAGATAGTAACTGATACAAATGAAAAACATTGACTAGCAGCAATGTGATCCTGGTACATGCAGCTTGTCTAATGATTTATGTTTCTAAAGCTGGGTGAAAATGATGATATATGGTAGAATATGTAGTAATACGATACAGATTTGCTTTTGAACCTGAGAAATTCATTAGCTGTTGGTCAATTAAAGATAGTTCTATGTAAAATTTCCTTACTGGGTGAAAAAAATGGTATATAAGTTGTTGCCCACTGCTATACTTTCACGTATCTTTTTTTGATATAACATGTTAATGAATCAGTGAAAAGTTAATTGACAAAGATCTTTCTCTTTCATTTATGACACACACAAACAAAACTCTGTCATTTCTCCTTTTTTTGCATAAACATATTAGACATATGGTTTAGAAAATAATGTCTATCTGTTTTATTTATTAAGGAAAAGATTTTTTGTCTCGTTCAGGAAGGCAAAATGCTGTTGGTAAGTACAATATTCTGTTGATAGTATTACCAACACAGCATCTTTCTGTTTTTCATTCTGAAATAACCTCTGTCAAAATACACTGTGAAAAAAGGTATTTTTTTCTACTATTAATCTATAGCCAAGATTGAAATTTATCATTTACAAGTTATGATTATTACAATTAAATGTACTTGCATCAAATTATGAGTCTTGCAAGTGATGTGAAAGTTCCATAATAAGAGATAGGAGAATAAGCTAATGTGACTGTCTTGTATTGTACTACCCCTGCTGTTCACAAAAGTTAAATTAGCTAATAGTTGAGCATATTGCTTAGCTATTGCAAAAATTGCAAAGTCGTATTTTAATTCCAGTATAAAAGTTAAAGATGACATCTAGGGATATTGGTGCCTAAATCTGTAGCAGGGATATACGTTGAGGAGCATGATACATTCAGTCTGTGTGCTACAGTTTGTTGAGAGCTGAGTGAATGTTCTAGAGATGTGTCAGTAAATGCTTGCATTGCTCATGCAGTCTTACCTATTGACCACTTCAGGATGTGTAATACTGGGCTTGATGACTCAGTACAGGCAGTGGTTATAAGAATTACATTTGCTTTGAAAATAGGTGCTTATATATCAAGGATGTATCAAGCACCTGGATGCAGGGACAGCCATGAGTTCCTAGGGAGGTGTACTCTATAGACGGTGATTCATAATTATTTTAATTTTTCACAGTTAAAATGCACTTTAATTTCCATGCTAAGCAAGTCTAGCCTTTTGATTTTCAATTGCAGCATTTTCGTTAGCAATTACTTTAAATAAATAATTTAGTTTAGTTTTCTGCCTAACAGATGCACTATGGTTCAAAACTAGGCTTTGTGCTTTGGTTTTATCTTAGTCATAGACCTCAGTGTATCAGAGAGACAGCTTTGCATCAGTGTGGAGGCTTGCTCGGTTCGGTTGCCACCCCCTGAGGTATAATACAGTTATATTTTCTGTAATTGTTTGACTTACTAATTTTTATCTCTTCTGTTATGTGACTTGTAGTTAGAGTGATGGGGATAGAAGTGCTTGCTTCTGATTTTATTAAGATGGTAATCATATTCACTGACTATCTGCAGCTGTTATAAAGGCATAACATCCCTATTATACCAAAATTGACACCCATATTATATCTATTATTAACACATTCTAGCAAACATTGTAAACTGAGAGTTTTGACTACTTAACAGGCCTTTCAAAAAATGCTAACAGAATATAGTAAAGTGCCTTTATGATTCTAGATTTCATTCTAGCAGTGTTTTTAGAAGGCATTCACTGTCTCACTGTCATACATAGTTTTGAATAACATCTTAAAAGTGAAGCTACAGATAAGTTGTCAGCACTGTATTTCAAGTCTGTATATAATTATTCTGGAATCTGCTTGATTTTCTATTCAGCTTCCAAAATACTGGAGCATCCTGGACTATGCTGCTTGTAACCATAATTAATAAACTGTTTAGGAAATCATGGATTAGGTTGAAAAAATACCATCCTTTGTGACAGCTGTGTCACCTTTGTTGAATATGTCCATACATACAGGTGCACATTTGTCAGGCTTGCTAATTTCTTCCAAAATAAGTATTTCTGATCCAAACACTTACTTAGTGTAGAAGAACAGGGTTTCTTCTGTGACCTATTTGGGCAGCATAAACATTAAAGCTATCTATAGAAATCCAGTTCCAAAATGACACAAAGCAATGATGATAGTGATCATGATGTGGCTTCACTGTCAGTTGGATCATTTTTATACTTTTTTAAAACAGAAATGGCTAAATTTTCATGCCAGTGAATAAATGCAAACCATAGTAGAACACAAAGAGAGAATATGTTTCTCAAATATCAGTGTTTGATTGTCCCCTACAGTCAAATATTTCTGCATTGTGAAAATGTGGTGGTTTTTGACTTCTCACAGGGTGAAGCTGTATATCCCATTAATTCTCTTGCTTGAATCTTTGCACTTCACTTGGCAAGCTGGCATACACAGTTACTAAGCTGTCCACATGGGTTTCTGATTTGAACTTCAAAAATGTACATGGACGTGAGACAGCTTTTAGGCTGAGAAATTCCTTCTGTACTCATTAAAACTCTTCAGCCCTGCCCATGGCAGAGGGGTTGGAACTAGGTGATCTTTAAGATCCCTTCCAACCCAAACCGTTCTGTGGTTCTACAAAAGTTTAAATCTCACTGATTTAAATAACCTTTAAACCTTGTACTTGCATAACATTTGAAAGTATTGGCTCTAATATAAGAGTCTGCAATTTGATGATCTTCTGAAATAATCGGTTTGTGAGAGCTAATAAAAGAATGGTAAAGTACAAGCTTCAATATATTGTGATGCGTAATTATTTTTGAAAATTTTAATTGTGTACTGCTGTAGAAATATTTGCAAATAACTTTTTTTTTTCATTTTAAGTTGTCAGACTTTGATATTTCAGCAAACATCTTAAAGCTGTTTGATAGCAATGAAAATACAGTTATTCACCAACATTACATATCAAGTAACTGGTGCTACGTTTTGCCAAGGTAGGAGTCTGTTATTGTTTCATCAGAAACAAACATTTCCTGGAATTGTTGCCCTCCAAATTGTGAATTTGATACTAGTGATAAGAACACCTCTGTTTTACAGTCTGTTTTACATTCAAGAATCTTTCTTTTTTATTTTAATGGTCTCAGTGTTACAGAAAATGAGAAAAATAAACCAGTGAATCATAAATTACACATTTAAACATTACTTCAAGTTTAGTAATCTCTCTGCTACTTCTGTGGTATGCAAGAGTATTAATTCTTGTCAAATATAATTTTAGCTGAAAGTGTCAATTTAAAGAAAAAAAAATTTCCACCTTCACAACAAGCTGTCCCTACTTTCATCATAAAAATAAGCGAAGTAATGATATATTCGCTTTTGTTCTGCGTTCACTGGTAGTGTGTATTGCAGATGAGAAATTAGACTTGTAAGTGCCAAGTTCTTTTCCATACATCAGGAAATATTGCCATTGTTCTGTCGTAAACTTAAAAGTTAATGGTATTAGTCCTCAAAACATAAAAATAATCCATAAGTCCTTTCAATGCCAAAAAAAAATTTACCTTTTTCGCCTTAAAGTCCAGTATATCTTCAGCTGAGTTTTATGACACCCTTTCTAAGCAATCCCCCCTTACCTATCACAGCATGAAAATGGGTCAGATTATAAACATCAGCCACATAATTCCTCCAGAATCTCCTTTCCATTCATATAAAGAATTTCAGATGCACTGGAAGAATCTGGTAAGAGACAATATATACTGATTTTGTTTTTCCCTCCCTTTTTTGTACCTATTGAGTTTGTATTTGTAATGCATGTTCGTATATTGTTTTTTCTTTTTCAAGTATGGATATATTCTTCCAGAGGATCTTAAAGAGACAAAAATATACTTAAGCGTTTACTTCAAACCAATAGGGGAAAGGTTCTTTACATATCCTTTCGGAATATTTTTGTTACATTTCCTCTGCTTTTAACAAAGATCTAAATTTTCATCTTTGAATGTGACATATTTTCTTCTTCCATAATTTCATAGAAGTCAGTGAAGAATTGTTTCACTAGACAAATCCGAACAATATATATAGTGAAGTCTCTTTGTCTCATATATTGAATAATAGCAAGTCAAATAGAACAGTTTGCTTCACAGCTTCCATAAACATGATAAATGCCATTCTAAATGGTGATGTATAAAGATGAGTTAAATTCCTGTAAAAATATGTCCAGCAAAGGTTTGTTTTAAAGAGAATTTTCCTGCTGTGGAAGGCTAGACTAAGGCTTACTTATACTGAGTAATCTTTACTATGCTAGGTTAGTATGGTATAATCATGTTGAAGTCCTGTAACTTAACTTCAGTCCCTTAATTAAGTATGTGCTTCTGTTCACCTCTTTGAAAAAGCTTTAGCTATGTTCATGATTTCTTCTCAACAATTATGATTCATAATTCTAGAAATGGAAAGAAACTTGTTATGTATCCCTGAGCACTTATTCAGGTACCCTTTGAATTGCATTCGAAGTCAGCCAGTGCAGTCTTTCCCCAGAACAAATTCGGAAAGCGTGTTGAACTCATTTCTTTCTGACCTGAAGTGTAATCTTTCACATCTATGTGGATTTCCAGTGAGAATGACAAGTAAAGCACTTTACGCTACACAGGAACTCTCCAGGGCTCCGGTGTGTATAAGATTTTTTTATGAACATATTAAGGGCATGTACTTTGTTCAAGGTATGGAGTGGTCTTTATCATATTCAGAACACAGAGCATAAAACTGCTTTTCACAGCAAAGAACTATCAATCATAACTTTTATTTATATGTAATTAAATATCATGCTATTTGCCGTTTTTAGGTTGTTCACATCACAAATACATTTGAAAACTAGACTTAGTGTTAAATAGTTGCTAGCAATACTTGCAGTTCTGTAGATCTTATTTTAAAGTTGGATATCCAAAACTTCCTCACACTTCTTCCATGAGAATAATAATAAGAACAATATCAACAACAATAAAAACAAGGTGTTGTTATTGTTGCTATTATTATATTATTATTACAGATTATTATTACAATTTATTAAAACTGAAACATGCAAAACCACAACCCAAGAGCAATATAAAGTTCTGTGGACTTGGGCATTTAAAAACAGTCAGTCTGTAAGGTTTACTCCATTGCTGGTGATGGAAAGGAGGCAAGCAATCAAAACTCATTTAATTTGAGGTTGTGGCAAATGCTGAGACTCAAATTTCTGTGGTAGCAGTATGTGAAAGAAGAAATGAAGTAATTAATTCTGAACAAAGAGCAGTGACAGAATTTGCAGAGATTCTAAAATACTATAATCCTCTTTCAGAAAGCAGTTGCTGTTTATGTCTTCTCAGTGATCAAAGCTAGAATGGCTCCTTTCTGTCATCTGCAGTTTTTACAGACATCCAAACTGTCTTTGAGTCAGAATATAGATGCCCTTAGAAGTTTAAAGAGACAAGGAGCCCTGTCAGTCAAATTCTTTGCAGATCCCTTCAAAAAGGGTAGGCATTACCTAGCTGGAAAGCACTAAACCTAGATAATGGCTGCAGTTTAAGTCTTTCCTTCTGAGAAATAAGATACTCCACCATAGTTTAGAAATAAAGAACTGGGGGGAGGGGAAAACAAGTTTTCATTTGTAATGACAACAAAATATTTATTGAAAATATAGTTCATTCTAAGTCAAAAAAGGAAAATGTGTAGTTATATTTTGTGGTATTAGGTCGATAATGTATAGTGATGCATTATGTTACTCTATCAGATTTTTAAATCCAGTTCGTTCTATTTATTAACTCTTGTTGTATTGCAGGAAATAAAATCTAAGCATATGAACTTGGCTGGTGAGATGGTTTGTGTAGTATCTCTAACACAGGCTCCTCCAAGGAAACAGACTTTGCCTGGAATTTCTTCACCATGCAGTATGGAAAACAGCCACTGGATGGAGCGTTTGATCAAAGAGCCAGAAACAAACGGTTTTTCGAGTAGCAGTAAGAATATAGGAAAAGTTAGCATTGAAGCAACAGCGATGTCAATGAATAACAGGCAAATACCAGAAGTACAAGAGTTACCAGTTGCAAAATCGCTAGAAATGCCTGTAAATTCAGCCTTTGAGCTCCCCTCGCAGAAAGTCAGCAAAATTATACCAATTTTCAAGGGAAAGTTGATGCAAATGAATGGAAGGACCACATATCATACGGGTGGGAAGAAAAGAGAAAGTGCTGAAAGACATTCACCAATGAAAATTATGGGTGTTTCATCTTCTATGCTGACTGGGTACAAGCCCAGCACGACTCAGGTTTACAAACCTGTTCAAAATATATCAGTTAAAAATCCTGCTCATAGCAGCATACTTCAGGTAACGAACACGAAAACATATGTAAAACATGGTGCACCTGTATTTCAATGGAAAACCGAGTCTGCTGGACAAATGACTAGTTCTGATTTGTCTGATAACTCAGCTTCAGGTGGGAATTCGAGTGAAGCCAATCACAGAATGGCAAATTTTCCTTCCTTTCTTAAGAATGTTGGGTCAGTGCTTCCGAAATCAAACATCAGTTTAAGTCTGAATGCATATGAATCTCCTGTGTCCAGTGCAAGAAGGGGGAAAAAGTTTGCAAGTCAAAATACCATGCAAGTTCTTCAGAAACAAAACCAGTCAAAGAAAGTAGATTTGCAGATTCATAAATTAGACAATGAAATGACAAATTCCAGTTTATCACAGCAACAGAGATCAAATGAAAGAGCAGGGTTAAATATTAATGAATCTGTCTTAAAAGATAAAGCATGCACCGCCAAGAATGAAGAAGGTAAAGCAGCATGCCACTATACGGACTATATTGCTGAGACAATCAGTCATCATTCCAAATCTATCTTTGAACAGGTATGGTAAAATAACAGCCTCATTCTCACTGGTTCTCGCAAATTCAGTATATTCTAAAACAATGTTAAGCAATAAAGAGCATGACTTTCATCATGTTCTACCAACATTCTCAATATAGTTTTCTAAAATTTGTATCATACAAGTTAATGTTTTCAGCCACTGATGTTGTGTTTTTTTTTTTCTGAAAGGGAAAATATCTTACTGTGTTGTCTGAGATAGACACTTCTTTTTTTCTGTTTGGGACTTTTAAAATGGGATAATTAGTTTTCCTTTCCTTAAGACAGTTTATCAGGGAGTCAAGATTTGTGGGAGTTTAACTGCTAGAGGTACTTCACAACTTAATTTTTTTATGATGCTGTCTGCTTTTTAGTAAAATAAATAGCTGAACTTATTTCAGCACAATTTTCATGAGGATGATAATCCCACAGATTGGGTGCATGGGTGAAATGTGTTCTGCTTCTAACTGTTTTCACCTATAAAATGTAATTTGGTGGGTTATTTAATATTTGTGTTATGAGGGCGTCTTTTAAAAAAGTAGCCCATTTTAACAACTAGAAAAATACTGGGTTGTTTTGGTTTTTTTTTAATAAGGGTATAAATTTCTTTACTTTAAGATGATTACAGGGAACAAGTATCTGACATGTGAAACTCTGACCTCAAAACTGACTTCCTCAGTCAAGGAGAGCGATGTGGAAGAATTTGTAAAGAAAAGTTGTGCCAGAAGAAGGCAGGTAAGCCCCCACACACACATACACCCCCTAGTCCTGTAGACAAGGGCCTGAATTAAGAGAAAAAAAGGAAAGTTTTTTGTGTTTTATTTTTTTTTTTTTTCATTTTCGCACATTCCAGTTAAAATGGGGAAGCCCTCTCTGGATAAAATTAACCTTAACCAGGATAAAATAAACCTTAACCATTAGTTATGTTTCTGGTCCTTCAAACATGATCTGGTTTTAATTATTTACCCACTATACCTACAAACATATTTGTCATGGAAATTATATTTCCATTGGAAAATGACAACTTTTATTAATTATTTCTCATATCATTCAACTAAGGATTTCACTCAGAAACAGCTTTTTAGTTGAGCTATTAGTTTAGTATTACTGCTTTATTTGCTTTACTGTTTTTTTGCCTTTTGTTTGTTTTGGGTTGTTTGGGTTTTTTTTGTTAACAGAAAGAAGAAGGTTCAAAGTTAAAGAAAGCCAAGAGAAGTAAGCCTTCTATTTAGGATGTTCTGGAGTACTGAAAGAAAACCCTGGGTATGCTCATTACAAATTTTAAATATCGTTCTTTATTAAAATAGTATCATGTCTGTAATAGCTCCTACTCTTTTGGATCACAATAATGATATCAGCAGTCTCCAAAGGAATTACTTTACTGAACAAATGGTTTCCAGAAGCTAAGATTTGTTGTTTATTGGACACTAGCAAGTAAAGCTTTTCTTTTTTCTTTTTCTTTTCTTTTTTTTTTTTTTATTCATTGAATACAAAGGCATCTTGTACTTAGTAGAACTTAGAATTTGGCTTAAATTTGTATTTTGATTGGCTTATTTTCTTTCAGACTAAAATAATCCTGGGTTTTGTGCTGCTTTCATTTGAATCTGACCTGAAATTAAAACCGTAAACCATTAAAGTGAAGTTATGTATATTATTTAGTATCATTACATGGAATGGGGCAAGGACAAAATGGCCTGTCATATGAAAGGAATAAATTTACTTTTGTAACCAGATATGTCAACCCACATCATGGGTTGTTGTCGACAATAGTCCTGCAGGATAGAACAAGCTTTTTTTTGAATGTTCTTTCGAATATTAAGCATACATCCAGCATATGAAACCCACCAGTTTTATTGACCTAATGCCTATCTGAAGTCAGCAGTAGTAAAGCATGCAGGAAAGAGTAGCCTATACAGTGAACTGTTTCAGATATAAATAGAAGTATATTTATTACAAAGAAAATATTGATGTAAACAAGATGATCACACAGACACAACAGCATAAAAATGTATATTATACAAAACCAATAGAAAAACATAGCAATAAAGAAGCAAAATATGAGCTATCCATCTTCTGATCTGGCTTTCGGCTTCAACGTAACTGATAACAAGTAGCCAAATGTGCATTTTGTCTCAGAGATGCACTTTCTAATCTTCCTTTCTTCGTGTGGATAAATTTCTTCCAGTAAACAAGAGATCAGTTGTTTGCTTTCCCTAAAGAAAGTCTGTTGTATGAATGGAAGCTTCCCTTATAAGGCCTTCATACTTCATTGTTCAGTCTATCTTGTTCCTGGATCTAGCATTTCATCTTTCCTGCTTCAAGCTGGGCAGTTCAAGCATGGTGCTTCTTCAGATATGATCTGGTTTAGCAGTTCAGCATAGATAGGTCCAAAGTCTCTGACTTTCACTGAGGACTGATAAACAGAAATGATGTCTCTGAGAATAGCCAGAACTTGACTTTTTTACTCAAATAATTTTTTTTTTTATTATTATTTATTATTATTTATGAGTTAAATGCCACAGGATCAAGTTGATTGTGGTAGGTGATGCTTAAATCCTGGGGAAGAAACAGCATCTTCCATAAAGTGTTTAAAATATGGGTTCTTCATTGGTGTTAATGACTTAAAAACAAGACTGGAGCTAAAATAACTTCAGCTATTGGATAGGTGCCTACAGTTCTGATTCTGAACATCTTTGGTCTGAATTTCTTTATTATATATTACTACACATGCATTCAGAGTGCATGTTTTCATTTGAACACTTGAGAATTACTTACAAGTTTTCAAATGGGTGAGAAAGTCTCAATGTAATTCAATGACATAGTCAACAGTAAGGACTTGGATCTATAATTCATGACAATAAAAACATTTTTTTACAATTATCTTGCAAAAAGGGTCAGTTTTTATGACTAAAGTGCCAAGCTGCACTGCCTCCTAATTTGCCCAGGAAATCACAGCATAATTCTGATTTACTTTTTTCTTTTGCGGATGAAAATAGTTGGTATGTTAATAAAGCAATGTGAGAGAAGTATTTAATATTTTAATAAATTGAAAATTTGGTTCTAACACTAAGTCATTCTCATTCATTCTGGTTTTACTCATATGCAGACAATCCCCCATTCTCTGAGGAAGGATTTTGGCTTTTCTTTGGCATAAGAGTAGCTAGATATTAAGCATGAATTTGAGATACTCCCCTCCTGCCTCCATGTTTAGTGGTCTAGACTACACTGGGGTACATTATTCTTTTTCAAGGCTGTGCAGGTTGGGCCAGTGGAAACTACAAGGCTGCTGAGGCGCCCAACCCATGAAGTGGGGGCAGGATACCTGCTATAATGAGCTCTGTAGAGTCTGTTGGGTATGTCTGCTAGATTTCCATGGAATTTCATAGGAGTTTTGACATCTAAAACAGATGTAGACAGCTAAATGTAGGTGGTCTAAATCTGGAGCTCAAAACCATTGCAAGAGTCAGACTTGAACAGTTATTAAGTTTAATAAAGATCTGCATGATTAAAAAGTTTTCAGAAGCAATTTATAGATCCTTTTTAAGCTATTTTTTATTTGCTATCAAATAGGAAATAAAAAGTCTCCATGTTTGGTCCTTCATTAACAGAAGTCATCCTATCATTTTCAAGGTCAAAAGGAAAGTTTGGCTCCTAAAATCAGTCAGAAGAGCAGAGCTTCCAAGGGAGAGCATATACTAGTACTGAAAGACATTTTAAAAGAAGGATTTTCAGCATTTCAAACATTCATGCTAGAACAGAAATGTTAAAAATCGTAGCACTGAAGTTACCAAGCCTTTTCTGCTGATCTGCAAAACTCTTCCTGTTACTCTGCTCCTGTATTGTCATATGATACCAATCTTTTGGTTTAGACACCAAATTTCATTTAGCAAATGAAAATCTACAAATTCATTACATAAGGTAGTAACAGTATTATTTTACATGAAAGTAATTGCTGCCATTACTGTAAGGATATTGTATGAACACAAGATAGAGACAATGGATCCACACAACTGGAATTTAGTAAAAAATTTTTGCAGTTTTGTATAAAGGGCTAGAGATCTATTGGACTCTTTCTTCTGAAAAGTGTATTGTCCCAAGCCAACATTTAGGAATTTCTCTTCTAATTGAAAGGCTATGATACAGAGATTTCCACAAAGCCATCTTTCAAATGCTTTCTGAAAATATTAGGCTAAAATAATACCTTTTAAGATATATAAATATAATAGCTTGAGCTGCTTTTTGAAGAAACAGTTTTGACTTACATGTGAAAATATTTGCATGGAAATTTTATGTGGTGAAAATATTTGGGATTTTGTAAAAAAAAGATTATGACAATGTTAAGTCTTTCAATGAAAAAGCAATTTCTTTTATGATCGGGGCAAATTCATTTCCTAATCAAATCTAGTGGCAGAAGTAACCTTTGGTCTGTGTACATTAGTAGATTATTGGTACTTAAATACATGAGAAATACTCAAAAAAATAGATGCTATCATAACTTTATTGCTATTATCCTATCCATTTTTAATTGCTGCAGGATTGTTTCAGGTTAGGGGCAATCTAATTTATTGCATGGCTGACCACTTAAAAATGCTAAAGAATACTTCCTCAAGATTCTGTTTCTTATGTTCTTATAGAGTTAAGAATGTGATTTGGCTGCCTGATCTCAGCTGGTTCAGGAGTCATGAATAGACTTCTGCAGTCGAAGTTGCTTCTTCCAGCACCACAGCTGACTGTAATATTTTGAGGCCTTTAAATTTAAAATCCCCAGACCTAAGAGGAAGGACAAATCTGTGCATAGTACCATAGTGAGAGGATTCTTTCTTTGTCTGTATAAAAATGCAAACATTTAACTTGAATATGCTAAATCCAGAAAAGGGCCACAAGGATGATCAGGGGACTGGAGCACCTCCCGTATGAAGATAGGCTGAGGAAGTTGGGGCTGTTCAGCCTGGAGAAGAGAAGGCTGTGTGGAGACCTCATAGCAGCCTTCCAGTATCTGAAGGGGGGCTATAGGGATGCTGGAGAGGGACTCTTCATTAGGGATGGTAGTGACAGGACAAGGGGTAATGGGTTAAAACTTAAACAGGGGAAGCTTAGGTTGGATATAAGGAGGAAATTCTTTCCTGTTAGGGTGGTGAGGAACTGGAATGGGTTGCCCAGGGAGGTTGTGAATGCTCCATCCCTGGCAATGCTCAAGACCAGGTTGGACGAGGCCTTGGGTGATATGATTTAGCGTGAGGTGTCCCTGCCCACGGCAGGAGGGTTGGAACTAGATGATCTTAAGGTCCTTTCCAACCCTAACGATTCTGTGATTCTTTGAAATCCAAACTTTGTAAACTTTGTGTATTAACCCTACTGAACTACCTTTTGGTTTCTTTTATGATCTAAACTTTCTCTCTGTTTCCACCATTCAGGTTCCCAAGAGGGCATTAACATACTTGCGGATCTCTGAGCTGTGTGAACTTTGCTGTTTATTTCACATCTTTTATACCTGTTTCTGAGTGAAAAACTGAGTGTTAAGTACATACAGTAAAGTGAAACCATGTATTGAGAACTTTTCAAGTTCAGGTTAAGCAAGTGTCTCTAAAGAATTTGAAAATGTAGCTAATTGCTTAGGTTTTGAATCACATTAGATCTGTTCTAGTACTTGCACTTAATCATTCTTCCAAGTTAGTTTTAAGTTTCAAGTCTGTCTTTTTATGATATAGTTATATTTAATTCCTAGCTACAATGTTTAGGTTTCATCAGTAAAACATTCCTAAGTAACTTTTCCTTGTCAAGTCCAATGGTTAGAAAACAAGTGGCGCATTTTTTCTTAGGGGAATAATCTGGAGGCTGGATTTGATTCAAGCTTCTTTAATTCTTGTTATATATTCTAATGAATTAAAAAATGCCCAGAATTTTGCCCTATTACAGTGACAGCTTTTGTTTTGTTTTGCTGTTTCTCAGATGGTGACTGTTAACATAACTGATTTAATGGTGCCAGTGTTCAAAAGAGAGTGGGCACTTCAACAACAAGTATTTTTCTCATACAAAGCATACAAAACCACACAAATATTACAAAAATTAGAGCAACATGCGCAGTGAGGAATCAATATTTACATTTCGTCCAGAAGTTGGTATACAAAAGTACCTTTCAAATGCTTTCATAGATTTGCCTATATGTAATTGATCTTTTTCTTGTCTTACAGTATGAAAAAGCCTGTAGAGCAGTTTCATTTCTGCTGTGCTAGATAAATTAATGCTTCATCTGATCTGTTTCATATTGTTGCCTTTTAAATGCTGCTGGTTGCCAATATTTGCCTTGTATTATAACTGAATTAATTTTGCATTATTCTTGCATTTTCAAATGTTTACCTAATTTTGTGTTATGTATTATAATACTTAAAATATAGAAAATTAAATTATCACAGGTCCATTTTCTTACATTTAAAATAAACTACTGAATTATTTATTTGTGCTAAATTGCTAAATGCTTCCTAGTCTGTGCTGTAGGGAAAGACCCTGCTATTCTACCCGCTACACACGCTCCTTGTAAATGTAAAGCAAGGTGTTGATAGTGAGTGGAAACATGCTGGGTGTAGGAGTGGTGGTGGAAATACCACTGATGGGAAAGAAGGGTTAGTGCTGTGGCTGCCTTTGGAGGAGCTGATGATGCTGAAAGGACCTTTGCTGCTGCCTACCCTTCACTACTTATTTAGAGAGGTTGCAAGAGCCCATCCCAGTTCCTCTTTTTAACCAGTTCTTATTAAACTGGGCAGAATACCCAGGCTTCTGACACAGGAGCCCTCAACATCTAGCATCACCTGGGGCCTCCATGTGTGATGCCCGCAGTCCTGATTTCTCAGGATTAAAGGAACAGACCCTTCTACCTGCCCCAAAATATATAAATGTACATCCAGAACAAGTGGAAATGTAAAAGGTAAAAATAATCACCAGGTGTGATAAACTGGTAAGAGGTCAAGTGGCAGAAGATATCACCTGCCCTTTGATGCCTGCAGGTCTTACAGTGTTTTAGATTACAGTGTTTAGCTTTTTCATCAGTTTTCAAATAATCTGATTCTTTGTCAAAGTTGAATCAAGTTCACATTTGTGAAAATGTACATAGCTGTTTTTTGAACCCCTGTATTAGGTTCAGAAAGTATTTGTTGAGTTGAAGTACTCACAGTGAGTTCACATTATTTAGTAAATATGCACTTTCAGAGAGTGATCTTTTCTCTCATATTTTCATAAATTGACAGTATTCTTTTCCTCCCCCATCTTCACAGATGTAAGCCGGAGGGACTTTCTACATAGTTTAAATTGGCACGTACTCAAGAGCTCTGTCAAATCTGAATTTAGAAGTTTACAAATTATTCTATGGGTGCTTATAACTTCAGGGAAGCTTGCTGTTTAGTTTCTTTGGTGCTTGTTTTATGCCAGCTTATGGTTAATAGTTGGTTTAAAAATAGTAAAATTAAGACCTCTGAAAGTACTATGTCACTGTATCACAAAGTAATTTAGTAAACATAGCAATTTAAGGACTTTGGTCTGGATGCTTATTCTCTTCAACATGCTCATCCCCTAGCTTCCCAGAGAACCATGAGTTGAACAGCTGTGGTATTTCTTTCATAGTTCAGGAAGAGGATTTGTCCCAAACCTGGAAAACATACATTGTTCTGTCTCCTTGCAAAACCGTAGTTTCACTGGCCCACAGAGGCAGCACAGAGCAGTGGCTCAACCTCTCACCTAAAAACTTACAGCCAGGATGAGCATCTACATTTTCCCTGGGATCTATGCAAAATTCGATGCAACCTCTGAACAGCTTAATCCCCCTAGGGCAGCATTAGAATCCAGAACAAAGCAAGCTAACTTTATTGGAAAATATGTGAAAATTGTTCCCAAAGAGTTTACAATTGCACCAGGAGCACAAATAGCTTCTTACAATGACTTTTTAAAATTGTTTAAAACAGTGACAACAAATTTCTTTCTAAACCCAGTATGTAAAAGGGATTTAAACTCACCTCCAGTGAGAGGAGTTCAAAAATACTGAAAGCTAATACGTCTGATTGGCTTGCAGGACAAAGCTTGTTCTCTGGGATCAAATAATCACTTTTAGGAATAGACACAGTTTTGTTCCAGTGTGAGAGTAGCCCAATATGTGTGTAAAAAATAAAATATATACATATGCACACATATGTATATGTGTTAGAGCATGTGTGTGTGTGCACACATCCGTACATATAGCTGTATCTCATTACAGATGTTTTAAAAATATGCAACATAATGTGAAAAATGTTGTTCTAGTACAGACAATTCAGTTTGGGCAGCAGCATTTGGTAGTTCCCCATTGTTGTGTACCAGAAAATGATGCACGTGGAATAATCCCTTGCCCATGCCACAAAACTCCATTTACATTGATGAGAGCAAGCTACCAAAGCTCAGCTGATTGCAACTGTGCTGTCTCTATCAGTAGATGAGCTTAAATACTATTAAACCATCAACTACTATTTAAATAAATCAGCAATTAACCAAATATGCTGATAGCTGCAGCAGCCCGAAGTTGAATCTTCATGTAAATCACAGAATCACAGAACAGTTTGGGTTGGGAGGGACCTTAAAGGTCATCTAGTTCCAAGCCTGCTGCCATAGGCAGGGACACCTTCCACCAAGTTGATCAGGTAGTTGTGTGCTTTCCAGCTAACACAGTGCAGTAAAATGCATTTCCCTTAATTATGCAGGATATCACACCACAGATTTTAGCAAGAATCAACATTCATCTTACAAAGCAGCTGGCCACCGGTCTCAGCTCAGGCAGGGAACAATACCAGAGAAATCAGCTGAGGCTGCTCAGTGCCGAAGTGCTTTCCAGAATAAAAATAAGAAGGATTACTGCACTGGGAGGTGCTAGCAGGAGATACCTATGCCTACACACCCCAAACAGGTGCAGATACCTTTTTATGTTAGGTGTTGTATTATGTAGGAGATTTATTATTATTGCAACTGAAGCTGCATGGCTCTGGGATATTTCAAAGCAAATGAGGTAAATGAAGCAAAATTAAACCTCTGCTGAAGAGGCAGAAAAAGGGTGTTAAGTCATAATTCAAAATGGTAACACATGAGTTTTGTCTTCAAAAGAAAAATTTATCAGAAAATTAATTTAACTTCTTTTTCTACCATTCATATAATGAAAAATAAAATGGAAAGAAGAAAAAGGGACCCTCTCTAAAGGGGATAGTGTTCTGCAGCTTACTGTGCATCTTTTAATGTATGTGACCAGCATGGTAAATAACTGTAATTTGTGTAAACTCAAATATTTGTTAAGCAGGAAATTTCTGTAGTGCTCTTTCTATTGAAAGGGAGATTTAAGTCAGATTTAGTTCCACAAGGTTTTATTTTCTGTTAGATCAGATGCTTTGAAGGCTGACGAAAGCAGTTTGGTTTCTATCAGATCTCACAACCCCTTTGGGAATGCCCTCACTGAAATGCCACCCAGACAAAAGGAGCGCTTTGTCCTATTGACCAGACTTGGGTTATTGTTTTTCAGTCTTCTGGTACTAATTGGATATTCTGCATCTGCAGGGTTTTTAATTTAGAAAGAATAACAATAAAATCTAAATTCTGCACATCACTGAGAGTAAATGGATTCCAGTAATGGAAAACATGTAGCTCCCAATACCTGGGCACCCAGCCAGTCCAGCTTGGTAGTAAGCATACATCTTCATTAATTCTCATTTAGAGACAAATCAATTGATTTTAGCAGTGTAAGCTCAAGTAATGTGAACCAGCATTCAGATGGAAAGGAAAAAAACACGTCCATTTGGGGATTTTGCTCCTACTTGGAATACTGGATGTGTGTATATCCACTGGCTATTGGCCTGCATGCATCTGCTTAAATCTGAGGCCTCAGCTGGGTGAAGGATGCTAAACTGTACTCCCTCATGTCCTGCACTCCCCTGGCAGAGCCAAATCTGCTGGCCTTGGGGTCAGAATGCTGATTTTACCTACTTTCCCAGGCTTTTGGAGGCTGAAGGCAGCTCACTGGGTGGGAGTAGGCAAGAAGTTGTGTTAAATCACAGAGACATTAGTTCAGAAAGCTGGTTTGAATGTTTGACATACACCTACAGAGATTATATAATTTTAAATGAGTCCTAATTCAAAGGCTAAAAGCCACTTACTTTCTGCACTGTTAGTGAATGAAAATAAGCCCGTCAGAATTTATCATAACAATTACACTGGGATTTTCAATACTCTGAATGCTATATACCTTTGCAAGTTTATGGAGGAAAGTTCTCATCTGCTTGGATCTTTTCAAATATTACTGGAAAGTTTAAAAGGTGCTATAGAATAAGGTGGGGTTTTTTTTTTCTGTTTCACACTTTAAAATATTGGTTTTTTTTCCAAACTTTAGTTAAAACACCCATATTTTTATGTTATTGTACATAATTTTTAACCCAAGATGAAGGTCTAAAGCAGTCTTCTTGGCAACTGGAAAGGAGAACACAGAGCAGAAGATCTCAGAGAAAGCCTCTGTAGATAAGGTAGAAAAATAAAGGTACATAAATGAAAAGCTTTTTGGTGAGCTAAGCCCATTCCCCTATATACCAAGAGTGTACCCCCTCTGGCTAGGATTTCATCTGAACCCACTGAGTTGTGCATCAGTAATGAGATAATATAGAAAGTACGCATCATTAATTTTTAAGAGACCTACCACTAGAAGAAAAATACCACTCTGTAAAAAGTGTAATAGACCTGGCAGGGCTACATTTTAACACCACAACATTTTTATTTTCATGTCTCCATAGAGTCAGTATCTGTTTAAGTTAGAGCAGCACTCATTTATTGTGCAGTTTCACACAGTACCCAGGGGAAATTTGGTGCAAAGTTTAGCTCCTTCACATCAACTGCACATGCCTACCACTGCATAATCAGGGCAAGTATTTTCAGAATATCTCAGAATAATAAAACAGCAACTTTTTAACATGTTGATTACAAAAAAGAATAAAAAGTTCAGCATGGAATGCACCAAGTGTGTGTGGGGGTTAATATTTTTGTGAACATAGGAAAAAATATTTGTGCTGTAACTCACTATTTCATTAAGGTATAATGTGTTATTATCACTTTTAGATATAAAAGTTACAGAAGCTCAGAAGGTCTGTAAAAGTTTGGATCACTGGTTATGACACTTGCTGTTCTGATGAGCTTATCCTTTTATTCCCAATGACGAGTGATTACTGCCAAGTATATGCTTTCAGTTGTGTATATGGATATTTGGAAAGTGATCCAGTATGGGGTAATGGGTAGTTAGGGCCCTGGATGTGTCTAAAGTAAACAAGATGGGAGGCAGCTGCAAGGGCTTGGGGGTAGACCCTGTGCTTAGGGTATGCCAGGGTGCCCTAAAGGGCTGTAGTGATGATGCAGGATGCTTCAGCCTCAGCTACCTTCAGAATTAACCTAATAACGAGTTGTAGAGGTGGCCTCAGAGAGGAATCCT